TGCTGCAAAATCCTCTTGTCAGGTCCAAGACACTTGAAATGGTTTTGTAATGGAGATGTTGAAACACAATGGGTGGTGGGAATGTTTCTGTTTATTATTAATTCACTCAGTATGTCTTTTTTTGCTTTAAATGCCAGTCATTCAAGACTGTAGTTCAACCACTACCTGGTCTGCTTTCTTTCTGGTAAGTGCGGTTGAGATGTACTGGTCTGTAGCATTTGCAGGATGGTCAGGGCATGTATACGGGTGTTTGGAAACCAGGGTTAACCGTGGCTGAGTGTCTTCTGAATTTTGGGGATGTCTGGGTTCATTTAACCTCCTCCTTTCTGCAATATGGAGCAGGACTCGTCTGACAGAACAGAAATGAAACAAAAGTGTGCGCGTGCATCCTTTTCCCAAAAGATATAAATAGTCTAAAGGAAAGATTGTATGCTTAGCAGCTTGGCAGATGATGCTGAGAACTGACATAATACAGATATAGACAGAGTACCGGAGCCTTTTTTTGGTTATGCTTTATTGTTTAAAGGAGAAGCTAAGATCAGCTCTCTGGAGTCTCGGTATTTCTGAAAAAAAGAATGTAAATGTTAGCAAAGTGATCTCTGAGGTTTTGTCTTGCAGTGCATGTTACTGTGGGCTGAGCAGAGGGGAGCTGCAGACTGAAGATAGCTTATAAGCAGTGTTGTGAAAAAGCTCATTTGTTGGTGGCTTAGAATTGTGATTTCTGCCTGAAACCTGAAATGCCTCGCTGCTGTAACGAGCTGTAATCTCTAGATGGCACGTAAACTGCTTGTGAGAGCTGCTCATGTGCTGGTTGAGGACAGAGCCATCATGGATTTTTCGGCCAAATAAGGTTTTGAGAGCATTTGGAAGTTGTCTCCTTACAAGGTGAGAACAGCAAAATCCTCATTCTTAAGACTGCACAGAATCTGAACAGCAGAGGAAGGAAGGAGCAATGAGCATCTTCTCCAGGCACCCTCTTGAGTTTTGCAGGTGGGGAAGGGCAGAGATGACCCAAAAGACTGGGCAGCTTCTTCAGCAAGTACTTAAATGAGGATTTCTAAATTCCTGACGTTGAGCTGTGAAAAGAGACAGCTCCCTCCTCATCTGAGAGCTACTGGTCTCATAATGTCCTTTGTTCCGAGGCTCTCAGAAGCATTTGGCATCATTGCAGTCACGCTTCTTTTTCCCCTGTTTGTGCTCCCTGTCCTGTAATGTGGAACAAAACAATTGCTTTCACTCAGATCCCATAGCTTCTTGGATTAGGGAGAGTTCATCACTGCTGCATGCTTGAGGAAGAATCTGCCTTCTAGGATGCACCAGTTAATCCCTCAGCCTGGTTTTGGAAAATAAACCAGTGATGGCCAATTGCAAATAGTAGATGAACTCTTGGCTATGCGGCAGAAACCACCGTGGGTTCTGAGTACTTGCTAAATGTACTGAGGGTTGTGAAATAAACAGGTCTGACAGCTGCTTGCTCCACGTTGGCCATTCATATCCCAGCTGAAGAATCTTTGTGCAAGAGCAGTTGTCTAGCCCAAGCTAAGCAAAAAGCCTGCAAAAGTTCTTAGAAGCATCTCTGATTTAAAAACCAAGTTGTCTTTCTACAGTAAACTTTCTTGTGTGCGTTTTTTCTGTTTGTTTTTCACGTTCCCTATCTATAAATCAAGGATTGTTCCGATTCTGTAAGTAAATTTCCCTCTGACATCAGAACTGAGGAACAAGTGCAAACAGATCTCTCTTGCTGATTCCTTCCCTTGCTTTTGTTTGTAGTTCGAGTCTCGGCTATATGTTGAAAGTCTGTACTATGTTTTTAATCTAAACTTTTCCACAGTGGAGAGTATCATTTGTTTTGCCTGTTACTTTAAGTAACAGAAACATCTTGGTTATAAAATCTGGAAAAGAGGGTCTTAGGGATTCTAAATGCTTGACTCTGTTTAATAATTGTATCTACTAAAAATAACCTTTGTAAAGAAGGGTAGTAACTCATTCTGTAATAATCCTAGTCAACAGCAGAAGCCATAAAGATTTTTTTCTGGAATGATGAATGGCTGCATATCTAAGTCCTGCAATTTTGTGCTATGCTCAGCAGAATCTAAAATTTAAGAAAAAAGGTTATCTGGTGCTCCTGCCTGTGAAAACCTTCCTTTGTTTTGTTTGCTCTGTTGCCAGCCAAGCTAGAAAAGTGAGTGGGGCCATCAGGCTACGCTAATGTTGTGTGATGTTTTCATCCGTTCAGATGTCCAGGAGGCTTCCTCTTCCTCCGAGAGCATTCCTTGTCTCCCGTCCTTCCTACGTGAAGTCTGCGTGTGTGTGGGGGGTGAGGGAATGCAGATTTGGGCACAAATCTTTTACCCTTTGGAAGGGTAAAAGATTTTTACCCTTTTTACCCTTTGTCCAAAACACACACAAGGTTCCTGTAAGTGTAATTTAGTTGTTAAATATCTTATTTTTTCTGGAGAGGAACTTCTGCTTGTCTCCTGCAATGCATCAGAAGCATTTTTAGTAGGATCCTGAAGTCCTTGACCATTGAAGTGCATATATAGCCTGTAGGGCTATTTGAGCGTTGGTGCTGCTGACCATCTAGAGGCTTTATTACTTGTTTTCCTCAAAAATGTGGCGTCGTTGTAGACCGCTTAGGCAGAGCCATTCATTAAATATTTCATGTGGGTGAAAAAGAAGAAAAAGACAGATCAAGCCAACGTCCACGGAAATGGAAGTGAGTGTACTGCTATTTATCGTCCTGCTGTGGAAGACCAGGAGACTTTATTCCTGGAGATGATGCGACTGCTGTTGTTGGTGACATTGCTAATAGGCTTCCCCTGCTGTCTGCGTGTGAGTAACTCCTGGGGAATTTTTTTGTTATCTTCACCCAGGTTACCTATTACCAGAATAAAAAGCTAAACCTAAAAGGTAATGAGATATTTTAGTGATATTCAGAGATATTTTAATTTTATATTCTGTGCGTGGCAGGCTATTCTCTAGCCTTAGAAACACTGGGACCCATCTGGGAAGGCACCGCAGCACTGCAGTGCTTTTGCAAGGAGGGGTGTTGTCTTTAGTCAAGTCCTGTGTAAACTTGAAATGTCTTTGATTGAGGGAAAAGGGAGAAAAAAACGAAGCAGTTTCAGGTGTTTCTGTCTGCGCTGATGTCTCGCACACGGAGCCCCGGCTCTGTTGCTCCTGAGGCAACACCACGCTAAAAAACAATACAAACACCTGCGCTTGGATCCACCTGCCAAGTTCTGGAGCCTTGCACTCCCTTCTCTATAACTTAAAAATAGGAAGGAGGAGATGAGCATTTTTTTTCCCCCCTAGTACTTCGGTTGCTGTGTTGAGAGAGGTACAAACAGCGCTGGCTGCCAAAACGAAGGAGATGGCGAAACTGTCCTTAGGTACAGGGCTGCTGCGTGCACAGACTGGTTGGGGGAAGCAGATGAGAGCCTTTCCCTTCCTTTCCCTTCCTTTCTCTTCTTTTCCCTTCCTTTCCCTTCTTTTCTCCCTCTCACGAGGTTTTTGCTTCCGCCAAGATAGCGAATTGAAAAGTTTTCCTAGAGAAGGGCAGCTCCCAGGTTGATGTCCCAACGTCTTCTGGCTTTCAGATGTAGCGTGCCAAAAGGTTTGATCTCTCCCTTCGCAGATAAATCGTATTTCAATGTGTTTGTTCCTCTCACTGGAGGAATTCTGGGGCTGGAAAATGTCTTAAGTAAATCCCAGGTTCGCTCTTCGGTCAGCTGCGAGATGCATTACGAAACTGCAGTTCTGCTTCTGTTGACAAAAAAAAAAAAAAAAAAAGCGCTTTTTTTTTTTTTTTTTTTTTTTTTTCTAATTGTAAGATACAATTGAATTTGCTTTGCGCTTTCTAATCTTGAAAACAGAAGCTGGGCAGAACTCGCTGGCTCCGGCCAGCTCTGCTCTGCGCCCACTGGAACCAGTGGAGTTGGGAGGAGGTCGGCGGGGCGAGGGTTTTGTTTGAGATCCCTTGCAGCCCTGTCAGTATTGTTTCTCTTAACTTGTTTAGTTTTGTGCTGAGTTTGTGAAGGTGCAATGCAGCCTAGCCCTTAATGTAGGGCTGACTTGGCTTGGATGTACCAAAGTTATAAATAGACCCCCTCTTGCCCCCCTAGCAGCAGGAAATGACTGCAGCAGGTGTTGTCCTCTGCTGGAAATTTGTGCTTATTAGTACCCAAATGCTCTCTTTTTATTTAAAATAACTAGCTTTCTTGTGCGTTCTCCCTTTATTTAACGCCAGCTGACTTGTTACGAGCGTTGTCTTAAAGTCTGCAATCTTTATTAAGACAGAAGAAATAAAGCCAGAAGGGCGGTATTGCCTTATTTCTGTGCAGAATGGGTAAGAAGTACATTCATGTGCCATCTTAAAAGTCTTCACAGAAGGTGTAGGAGAGCTGGGCATGGGTAAAAACAGTATTGAGATTACTTTTTAAAATTCTCTTATTTGTGTTGAGCTAGAATTTAGCTCAGGTTTGCTGTAAGTTGTAATGTGGTGGTAGCAGTGGGTGCTTGGAAGATCTGAAGATCTTGAGAAGCAAGAGCTGCTACCCCTGCTTGCACTGAGGATGGCACCGAGAACATCACTGGGGCTTTCTGTGCAGCCAGGTGGTGCAAATAAGGATATCGCCATCTGGTCCGTGTGCGATGAATTTGGCGGTGTCCGTGAACAAACTTCCCCCTGACGCAAAGAACGTCATTGTCCATGGATTAACTTTCAGCCTGAGCAAAGAGGCCAGCTGTTTGGGCAGGGTGAATAAAGCCGTGGTGCTGCTGAGGTTGGTTGTTTCCTTCCTGCCCCATGGGAGAGCCCCTGCTGTTGCAGTTGTTGGGTGCCTGCGGGAAGGGCTGCAGAGCCCGGTGTTACCGGGGGTAAAAAGAGAAAGAAAAGGGCGATGCGATGCGTGTGGAAGCAACAAAAAAGGAGGGACAATCCTCTGTGTCAGCTCCTGTTTAACACGTGTCTGCCTTCTTACTCTTCCTTTCTCCCTCAGATGCGAGAGCTGCGTGGAGCTGCTGTTTGTCAGAGGGGCTGGGAACTGCCACGAGTGCGACACCCCCCTGCGGAAAAGCAACTTCAGGGTACAGCTCTTTGAGGATCCGGCTGTTGACAAGGAGGTGGAAATCCGGAAGAAGGTGCTGAAAATGTGAGTGTCGCCAGTTCAAAGAATGGAACATTGATATTTCAGGGATCATCGTTTCCAAGAGTTGACTTATTCCTCCAGTAGTTATTTAAAAAACTCCCCACTTCTTCCCAAAAAAAACCACCACCACCACATAGCTTGACTCCATTTAATATGGAGGGATTTCAGAGACTCTGACTTTATGCAACAACTGAGGAGTGAAGTCTCAACTTAGACTACAGGAGTTCTTGCTTAGGAGTAGAAAATGGGTGTTTCTGTGTGGTGTAATTTTGGCAAAGACCTGCCTCCCAAGTGGAGATGGTTACGTGTAGAGGGCTACAGCTGCTTTCCCTTGGAGGGGGTGAACATGGGAGTAGGGCGAGAAGCAGGACTGTGATTGTTTTCTTGCCTGGGGACCTGGTTCTGAGAATTGAAGGCTAGCGCCCTTCCGACTGAAAATGGACAAAAGAGAAGCCATGTTCACATTGTTTCCTACTTCACACAGCAATTGTTAGTGGAAATGCTTGCTTACAAGCCTTGTGTCAGGCAGATTTAAGAGCTCTTGCAATTGAGATAAATTACATCTAAAATTACATCTTGCTCCTTGTGGCCATGAAACAACGTTTTATGAGGAAACTAAGCAGGCCAGTTGGTGCATTGTTAAAAGAAAACCTAATGGAATGTAGCAAACTTGGAGAGTTGATTGTACAAAACTAAACTTACAGGTAAACTGTAACCTTGGGAGCCTTTGTCTGAGATTTAGCATGATGCTAAATGAATCTTATGATATTGCTGAGGTGTAGGGAAATTGTTTGCTTGGATACCAAGACGCTGATACAGAAAGTAATAATTTTCAGGTTTGATTATAAGGTCTACTGAAGTTAACAAAAGTCAAGCTGGAATGAAGTCAACTCAGTTGACTAAACACAAAGCATATTTAAAACAGAAAATGTAAAATATTTCACCCATTTGGATTTCCAGATTAATTTTTGTAGGCAAAAAAATCCTCCAAATTGGAACTTTGCTTGACTTCTCAGAATTGGATTTTTATACTCCTGGGTGTCATGTATCTTGGTTTGCAGAGCAGGCAGAATCTCAGCTTTATGTTTTCTTGGGAAGAAAACTTGTGTGTCTTGACTTTCAGAGCCTGTCCGTGTTCTCGCCAGACTTGTTGTCCCTTCATTTCTTTACTTCTTCCAGCTATCAGGAGCTGGATAAATGAGTTCTGGAATGATCTATTGATAGGGAGTAAGATAATCACGTAGCATTTCAGTTTGCTGCTGACATAAGCTTTCTGTGGTTGGCAAGGAGCCAAACTCCCTTTTCTGATACTTGGAGAAAAAGCTTTTCTCGTGGGCGTTACTGTTGTCTCTGCCTTTAACAGGTTTTTCATGATGAAGGGCTGGCTGGGAATTACTACGTCCTGATAGTCTCAATGCTCCTGTTTACCTGCAACACCAGAAAAAGGATCTGCAAACAGTAGGCACAGATAGCACTGATTTATACCCGACCAGCTCCTTTCCTTTATAACAAGCACTTCTGCCTGCTGTTAAAGACCGTGCGCTGGTCAGCTGTGGGAGTCACAAAGCACATTGTTGATAAAACTAGGTCAATACTTAATATGCTTGCAGCAAGAGCCTTGTTGAATTGAAATTTCATCTGTGTGTGTTATATAAATGCTTGTTTCTCTTTTCTCAAAGATACAATAAAAGAGAGGATGACTTTCCCAGTCTAAGTGAATATAATGATTTCCTGGAAGAAATAGAAGAAATTGGTAAGTATTTATGCTTGCATTTTTTGAAGTGCTGTGCTCATGAGAGGCTTTTATCTTCTGACTTGACTGCCTATGAGCATGTCTAAGTTGAGTTTCCGTAAAAGGATTTATCATACTGTCAGATGTTTATCTAATTATTTTTTTTCTGTACGTTTCAATCCTATTTGCTGAACTGTAGGACATCGTTAAGTAAAACGTTTTATCTGCCAGAGGACGAACATGATTCAGAGAGGAAGTAGTGCTTTATAGCTGGAAAAGAAAGGCTTGCAGGCCATTGTCAGTGCTACACTGTGAAAGATTAAACAGAAGAGAAATTCAAATTTTCATTATATGCTTCCATTAGCTTTATCTACCATGACAGAAGCCATATGGTGTCTTTTGTCATTTTTGCTTCTGCATGTTACAGTAGTTGGAGCTGCTTTGAAGCTGATGACCTTACATACCAGTGTGGTAGCATTTTCTGTTGCTGTGTAGAAGAAGGAGGTTTAGGAAGAGACATTGATTTCTTTCTCTTCGGATTAGTTGAGGTAGAACTTTGCCCTTTGGAAAGGGACTATGTTGTCAACAGAGTTTACTTTCTTCTTCTTCGTTAGGGTGACTTGTGATTTATGGTGGAGTGATGGATCTTGCTTAGGAAAACATGGATGTATTCAAGTGGGTGACTCCTAAAGCTTTTTTTTTTCTTGATTTATATAAGCTTCTGAGGCTTTTCTTTTTTTTTAGTCCTGGAGGAAGAAGGGGTGGCTCAGAAAGTGCAAAAGAGGCAGTGAATGCGATTTGAAGGAAAACATGGAGATGCCACTCCCTTTCAGCTTCTCAAAGAAGCCCTTGCTCATTTTTGCTCTGTGCTATTTTGTAGCAGTGTATCCAGTACGTTTACTGCTGTGAGTAATGTGTGGTGTTTTTGTTGGCATCGGAAGGTTGAGGCTGGAGAGCTAAATCGTGTGGCTGGGAAACACCAGGCACACTCATACGGGTCCAAATATCTGGAGGAGAGTGGGTGTAGTTCTGTTTGTATACTTTTTTGGATGGTGTAAGGGAAGGAGGGAGGGAGCAGAAAGAATGGTTGCAGCTTAGCCAGACGATCCTGGAAGGGGCTGTGTGCTCATGGAAAGGAAAACTGCTTTTTATTTATGTAGCACTAAATGCAGGTTTCCCACTTACTGCTCTTACATGGGCTTTTGGTATCTGCAACGAGGGAGTTGAAGTTTTGCCTGAAATTGCCTGAACCTCATCAGTTCGTGCAGAAAGTTACGATTCTCCTGCTCTTGGGATTAGGCTGTTAAATTTCAAATGGTTCCAGAGCCTCTGATGGCAACTTGGTTTCGAAGCAGCAGAGCTCACAGCTGGTCTTCATAACCTTGTGAAGAAGAGTGAATTTATCTGTCATTGTGCTGGTCCTGCAAATGCAGAACATAGAAGCTCAATAAATGGAGTCATCAGGAATTGAAATTAGTTGCTGGAAAGTGACTTCTAAAATACTAAAAGGACCAGGAAGGCCAAGTACCTCCTCGTTTCTTCATGCATCGGCCAGGGTGATGAAAGGAAGGAAGAGGTGCAGTCAGAAGGCTTTAAATTTTCACAGTCTAAGGAGTTATTTATGATCTCCTAACTTTATGATCTACTGCTTAGGTAGATCCAGGAACCGGAGGGCTGGCTAGGATTCAAGAACAACACCTCTGATAAGAATTTAAGCCCTGTTCTCCTTTCTCTGGTGATAAAGGTCCTTGCATGTATTTTCCTTTCAACCTTTGGTGATTGTTCCTGTTTCCCTGAACTCTTCTCCACCTGACAGTTGTCACACTACTGCTACGTACCAGACTTCTTCCAGCATTTTTGCTGTGCGTGGTGCATGCGGCACAGCTGACCAACGCGTTGGAGGCATCTTCCACTCTGTGGGTATTTCAGATTTTGCTAGTAAGGCTAGTAATTTCCTTTTCTTTGTGTGTGTGAATTCCCTGCTCGTTTGCGCACATGGGAAACTGGGCTGTGAGAAGGGAAAGAAAGAGGGTAGTCATGCGGAGCAAAGCTTCGCCTCGTGGGGCCAACGTGCAGCAGGTTGGCAGTGGCTGGTGGTGGCTGGTGGAGCTGCCAGCTCAGGAAGCCAGGCAGCGGAGAACCAGATTTCCCCTTGCTTCCCCCTGCTGCAAATTTCCAGTTTTCCTTTGAGAAGGTCGAAGTGATAAAAAAAAAAAAAAAGTGCAGCGTTACCCCGTTTTCTCCTGGCTTGTAAGTTTTCTTATCTCGTTGTTGGGGTGTGGGGGCGGAGGGGGATCAGAATCAAGTGATTGCTTGGCAGAGACAAAATGTAAACATCCTGTATTCGTATACTGCACGTGACCCTGGCACCGTTCTGATAGTTTTTCCAAATGTTTCAGGTAGATCAGCTCCAATGTTTGCAGCGACTGCAGCGTCTCGTTCGATTGATGTATGGGCTCGCTTGAAACACACTTTCCCCCCTTCAAATCAGGTGTATTACATCTACAGACTTTTCTGTTTAAAGGAAAGTGTTGGGTGGTACAGCAAAAGAGGTAGGGGGAAAAGGTCAAACATTAGGGTAGTCACCTCTTAAGATTTCTATTATAAAGAACACATTTTTAAGTGGTTTAGAATGTAGCCACTAAATAATGCTTTGGGCAAAAATGTGTTATACAAGGCTTTAAATAGAAACCACATTTTAAAGCAGGCTTTCCCCAGAAGAAAAATCAGTTGGACAATTTGAGAACATTGTAAACAGTTTGTTGTCATTAACACTAGGAAGAAAAATAAAGTGAAAAGGTTAAAACCTGTTTTTTGGGAAAGGTACGTGCAACATCTACTGGAGTGAGGCAGGTCTGTGTCCCTGAGAGGGATGAGGTTAAACCTTCAGGTGGTACTACAGGTTGCAGTCTCTGGACACCATGCAAACTCTGCTTGTGTTTTCCACGAGGTTTTCTTCTTCCCCAGGGTATCTCCTCAGCCAGTTGTTCAAAACCTGGTGTGAAAGCTTTCCAGAGCGGGGCCCGCCTCCTCGCCTGTGTACACACACTGCTTGGCACCGTTCTCCTGATACCTGAGTGAGGCCTCTAGGCATTACCGCAACACGATTCCTAATAGTAATTATTGCTTTTTAAAACATTCAGTACATTCAGCTTGGAAGGAGGCTACCGTGTTTGTGCCCTTTGGATTCCCGTATCTCATCGCTTCTCTGAGCCTGTGCAATCCCAGCTGCCTGGTGGCTCGTCTTGCTCAGACCATTTGTCTTACAAGCGATCCTCGGATAGGCAGGATTTTATTATCTACAATCGCTTGTGGGTTATGTTGTTTATTCTTTGTGGTCTTTTTCCTCCGTGTGTGTGCACAAGGATGGTATTGCTGCTGCTTACAATGGGAGTAACTCAGTAGGAAAAAGGGCAGCTTTATCAAAGGTCCGTTTCAGCCCTCTCATCTGAACAAAGATTTCAGTGCTGCGCTGTTCCAGCCAAAATGATTTGTCTTAGACCTGGTGGGGATGAGGGATTTGAATCAGTCAGTAGCATGCCAGGGTGTTTTTCTGGAAAATTGTCGCAATAAAAGACAACTGAGGATAAATAGAAATAACTAATAATGCCTAATGAGATTTTTCCTGGCTTAGTTTAGGGTTTTATTTTTTCCTGACAATTACTTTGTAGTAATCCCAGAAATGTTGGTTGGAAGGGACCTCTAAAGATCTAGTCCATCTCCTCTTCCTCCAGACTTCTCCTCTTAAAAGTATGGGGACACAGGGTAGGGCCAGACACAGGAAAGCACCAACCGAAGGTGCTGCAGTAGCTTTGGACTCCCTGCATAGGACTGTGGACATGGTTGTCTCCTTTCATAGTGCTCTGCCCAAAGCAGTCACTTTTCTGCCAGTCCCAGTCTCCAGCTGGCTATTTATGAAGGTGGTAATGGCTGGGTTGTTTGTGGTAGGGTGGGAGGAATGCTGTTGATAAAAAATACTGAGTATCTGTTAAATTCAGGGCTGATTCATACCAACAATGTGGATCAAACACTGTGTTTTGCAAGGTAATCACAGGCAATTTTGTTCTTTTTTTTTCAGTTAGGTGCTCTGTGGACAAGGCGAGGGGGAGGAGGTTAGAGAAGTGTTAGTGGTTGGAAGAGAGCTGATTAACTTACTGTGGTTATTGCTTAAGTAGCACGCATTCATTTTTTTTCTCCTGAAGAAATAAAAAATGATCTTGACTCCATCTCAGTCGAATAACAGATTTCATAAAGCTTACAATAATTTGACTGTCACAGTAGTGTCACTGGCACATACATTATGATTTACTGTTCTTTTTGTTCCTCTGTTTGCAATTGTAGGCATCCATAATTCATTAATTTCCCTTATAGGAGTGTTTGATGCATGGAGTGGCCATTCCTCGTGCCCGGTCTGTGTCTCCCACCAGCTGGATTCAGCCAGAAGTAGAGAGAGTGAAAGGTGGAGGCTTTAAGTGGATTGTGCCCGAGAGGAGAAACGATCAACATAGGAGCGGGCTTTCGAGGTCACTGGATTAATCATCTATCTTGGCAGAGAGGCAGTGTGCCTAATATTTGAAGAGGAAATATTTTAACACAGTAACATCGCTGTCTCTTAAGGAGCTAGGAGGAGAAATCTCAGAAAACTTGAAGTATCTCAGAGGAGATTTGGGTGGGTTTAATTTGCAGTTGTGCAGCAGAGTGACGTGCACTCATACTGCTGCCTCTCTGCACAACTTATTATCCCACGTTATCCAAACTTTTGCCTCAAATGTGCTTGTTTCCTTTATAATAATTAGGAAAATGCTTTTCCGTTTATAATGGGAGCACACAATAAAAGTTTATTTTTTTTAAAGCAGCAAAAGGACTCCCTGTAAAGGCTGAATTTCAGCAGTAGGGAGTTTTACCTAAACAGAATGAAATGTTTCAGGAAAACACAATAGTCTTCCTGTTGTACTTCAACAGATGTCTCAAGGCAAGTCAATTTATAAACCAACCAGTGTGAGATGGATAAGTAGATAAATAATTGTTGCATACAAAACAGCTTCTGTTTCTTTTCCCTGAAGGGTTTCAGGCCTCTTATATCAGCTTATGCTATATTTCAACATGGACAAAAATAAGTCTGTCTTCTCTTTGAAACCTTTTCAAACTAGCCATCTGCTTTGCCAGTCATATTCAGACCTATACCAATGTTTTTTCAGGGTAGGTACAGCATGTGAGTTTTCTTTTTCTTTTCTTTTCTTTTTTTTTTTTTTAACTCTTTCTGGTTCTGCTAGTTTATGTTCCCTTTTTTAAATATGTATATCTCTAAGAATTATATTAAAAATAAATTTCTAGCAAAACCCAGATGAAACCAAATCAAATGCCAGGTAAATTGTGGAGGGGACACAAGAGAAGAGAAAATAATTTTTCGGTTATCTTTTATGGCTTCTCCCCCTTACAAAATGGACTTGACAATTGTAATTGTGAGAATAGAATGGCAAGAATCTGTATTCGCTAAATATTGATGGAGAGACGTTTGAAACTCATGAAAAATAAATTAGAAAACATGTTGGCAGGTATTTTGGCTGGGTGGGTGGCCACTGATAACTGGTGCAGTGTCAAAGAACAGGGTTCGTTTTGCTGCTAGGATGTTTACTGTAGGAGGGAAGATATTCTCTGCGTTTATTCAGGGACAGCTGCTGACACTGATCTTGGGATAGAGACATCCAGGTCCTAACACTATTGCCACAAAACATAGTTTTTCGGTATGTTAACTCTTGAAACGTGAACCACTTAATGTTTGTTGAAGAACAACAGCTAAGGATGTTTAGGACCAAGATGATGTTCCTCTTCTTCCATGGCTGCAGGTCAATGTTCAATGGGAGAAATCTGCTCTGGGCTTCGAGGGTGTAGGAAACTTGAATCTTTCTGCCTGCTGCTGTCCTGCCATCTCCTCAAGTGACAGGGCAGGACCAGCATGGTGCAAGGAGATCCAGTTGCTGGGAGGATTTTATCCGGGGTTTCCAGCCACAGCAGGGGAACAGAAGGAGAAAGGAACCTTTCACCTTGCCGCGAGCAGAGCATTTAAGCACTGCCTACGCGGGTGGATGTTGGAAGATTTCTTAAACACTGTTTAAGAAATAAACACTTGCTATATCAAGTAGCGAGATATACTCACTTTTGTAAGTAGTTCTAAATAAAGGCAGGCATCTGCCCATGTCTAAAACTTGCCTGCTTTCCCTAGTGTGAGTTTTAAGGCTTATGCTTGATGTTTTACAAATCTAGGTTGTGTCTTGTTGAGTAATTAATGATAACTGAGAAAGGAACAAACAAAAAAACACGACTGTTTCAAGCAGCAGTAGTTGCAAAAACTTAGATCATCAGCTTATTTTTTAATGCTGGATTATTTTTAGAGAAATACCCATGATATTCAGCAGCCCAAAGGCATTTGGCATCTCATCTTGTTCCTCCTCTTGCACCTGAAGGTGGCATCTGGACATCCTGCTTAGCACAGCATGTCTCATATGCTATTTCTTTCTTGTGTCGTCATTGAAGAGTTTAGGGAGCTGGTGTGTGGATTTAAGTTGTAGGAAGTGCTGACATTCCCATGCAGCTGCTGTCATTGCAGAGCCCTGGTTGTGTGCCAGCATTTTCACATGACAATTCTTCTCTGCCATCATACTCAAATATGAAGCTGATTGTCAGCTGGAGACTGTAGGCTGGAAAGTTGGAGGTCAAATCTCCACTAAAATACAACAGATTTAGGCTGAAATAATGTGTTTTATTAAGGGAATGCTGCCATATCCAGAAAGTGTATGTGTGTTGCAATATTAAATTGGAAAATGTTTGTATGCCTTCTGGAGAGGGACAAAAAAAAAATTGAAATGGGTAACTTGCTTCCAAAAACCAAGGAGCTCAACTCTGAAAGTCACAGGGCTATCAGCATGATGTCTTGGGGTTATAGTGGTGCCTAGGGGCTCCACCTGAGATCAAGACACTGAGATAGGCACTGCAGGTTTTGATTTCCAGTCAAATGCTTACAGCACAAAACCAACCTGCTTCTCGGCTCCCTTCTGAAGTCAGGGCAGTGGGGTAGGGGTTGGAGGAGTTGAGCTGTTTTGCCAGGCTGAATTAAAATGTCAGTCCTTTCGATATTGCTCATTATTTGGAAAAGAGGAAAAATAATAAATACAGCCTTTTGTTTGTTTGTTTTAAGGTTAGGAATTTCTCAGCTATATCCCGCCTAACCATTTTGCTGGGGTTCAGGGAAGGGCTGAATGCTTTTCGATAGAAATAAGATAACGCTGCATCTGTACTCCTGGAAAGAGAAGCGTTCCTATTTCCCATCTGTACGCTTCTATTACTTCCCTTGCACCATCTCTGGCACTCGTCCATCCCCTCTGCTGAGCCAGTTCAGGTTACTGAGAGGTTTCTGTTGACACCGCAGAGCACCCAGAGTCCTGCAGTCGGAGCAGAGGCGAGACCCGTGCCTGGGATGGACGTGGGAGCAGGACCACCACTGCTGGGCAGTACTGAGGTGCTGTGTGGCTGCGTTGCTCTGAGCTGTACCTCACGGCTCTTGCATTTTCAGCCTTCCCTTTTCATCCCCAGTAATTGATCTCTGCTTTGATTTCTTGCTCTTTGTTTAGTTCCTCTCAGCTGCTTTGTCCAGGCTCTTTGAGGTTTCTTTCTTAGAACCCTCCTGAAAGTTAATTTCTGCCGTGTTACCTGTGGAGAGGAGAAAAGAATAAGGGATGTCAATCTTTACCAGACTGGGATGTGGGCTGTTCTCATGGGTAATGACACAGACTTCATGGATATTACTTCTATTTCTCTCTATTGGTCTTGTAGTGCTGCAAAGTTACTCCTATATCCAAGGTTCATTTGGCCCTAGTCACTTAAGAAACCAGAAATAGAGAACTGAATAAAAGTCTTCCAGGCCCTGTGCTGATGTTTTCACTAGAATCCCTTTCTATTGAGAACCCCTTTCTCTTGCTGAGGGTTTGGCTTCTCACAATCCCTGTGCTATCGTTCTCTTGCAAGGGATTTATCAACGGCACTGCAAATTTCTCTGCTGCTCCTGTAACCTTAGTGTAGGCACGTAACCAAAGCTCATTGAGGTTTTGGGGGAGAATGCTGTATGTTCGTGGTCTGCAATAGCTTTAGGGATGTGGGTGTGAGCTCGGCATCCTCTCTGGATGGCAAACACCAAGCGCCCTCGCAGTGATAATGGTTTTCAGTTGGAATTCACTTGACCCACAATTGAACCAGTGACCGGGAGGTGAAAGGCTCAGGCACTGTATCGAATTACGAGTCATCCAAACCTTCTACATCTTTCAAGCTGTTGGTTATAGAAACTGTTCCATTTCTTGAGGTATATGCCATGCCATATGTAGATAATTGGGAATGTTCTGCTAAACTGTGGAGCCTGCTGGCTGACCCTGCTGGCTCGTAATCATGTGAGATACAGTCTGTCACTACCAAGAGGTATCAAAGGAATGCCATTTAACCTATTAATCTGGATGCATTTACAGATTCTTCATAATAAAGGTAATTGTACGTTGGTGTCTTTTAAGTCATCAAATTACAGGAATTTTTTGTATACCTGAAAATTCAGTCTCTGTGTTCTTTGTGCACTAGATAATCTTATGAAGTAGAATGGCTTAATTTCTAACCTTGTTTTACAATGTATGGCTTTTAATGTAACCTCATTTTACAGGAATAACTGTGTTCTTAGGTCTCAAAAAGGTCAGTGTTTTACTGAGAATATCATGATCATTCATGTATATCCTTACCAGTTTCACAAAATAGGGTGCAAAGCTTAAATTTTCATCTGCTAGAGATGTATAAATCTAAAGGAACGTCACTGGCTTCTGTTGAAGTTTGCAGGGATTTAGCAGATTGTATTTTGCTTTACAAGGCATATTTAAGTAAATTCTATTATTGTGATGTTCACGTCTGTTTCTGGAAGTGATAGAGAACATGAATTGTGTTTCTTTGTTGTAGCAGTGCATGCCGACCTAATACTGTTGTTTTCTGTCTTTCTAATATTTATGCAGTATTTAACTTGACTAACAATGTGGATTTGGAGAACACCAAAAAGAAAATGGAGCTGTACCAAAAGGATAACAAAGAAGTCATTCAGAAAAACAAGATAAAACTGGTTAGTTTAACTTCTCTCCCTTACAATTTTTGTTCGTTAGCTAAAGAATTAAAGGATCTTCAATGTGGAGCACTTCTGAAGTATCTTAAAAGCAAGTCAAAGCTGAAGGCACTATGCATGCTTCATTTTGTGTTCAAAAATATATATAATATGCTAATATTCTGTGATACTGATACTTAGTGCTGCTTAAAGAGATGAAATTGATAGTTGAAATGCAATTATCCTTTGTTTTGGAAAGGGCTTAGAAAGAGGGCTGGGCAGTAAAGTCTGCATGTAATACATTGCTACTGCACGCGTGCTGGCAGTGTCGTTGGATAATATCCAGGAGAGACCAAGTTCATTCCTACACCAGGACAATCATTCCTTTCTCATCCAAAGGGAAAAGGGAATCCAGACGCAGACGTTAGGAAGCTCCCAAGAGAGAGCTGTAAAACTGAAGGAAAGCACAGGTCTGGTTTATGCAAAATTTAAAATGAAAGATGTTGAAACAAACATTCAAATTTTTGTTCAAGAGCTGGTAACAATAACATCAGGAGTACTGTGTACATGATCTGTATGCAAAACACATGGTTCTTTGAAGATGTATTCATTACAATATGGCTCAGTTATCATTTTGGTCTTTAAAAATAAACTTGCAAGCATTTCTTTCTGTAAGAAAAGTTTAATCTGTTAAGTATTTTTTCAGTATAAAAATACACATTGTTATCGGTTCTTGAAGGAAAATGTCTGCCCAGAGTGTGACATAACAAGGTTTTGTGTTTGTATTCCAGTTGCACTAAGGACTTGCTTTCAAATCAGTAGGGGTGAAGTCCTCACTCCCCTGAAGTCTGTGGCAAAACTCCCAGTGATTTCTTTAGCCCTAGGATTTCACAGGAGGAGATTGGAATCTGAAAAATGTTTGTTTGAACCTCTTCCTTTTAAAGGCAAGGAAATTTCCCTAGGGGTCCATCTCTGATCTGTTATTCCGTGTCTGACACTGTGCAATGTCCTGTGCTTCAGAGCTTGAAGAGACCTTCCAAATCTTTGGCTACGTCTTGTTTTATGATGTAGGCACAACCTCCAGGGTCACCGTAATAACAGGGTGCTTTGCCTGCAGCCCACCTTCCATTCATCTACCTGACTTGCAGGCAGCAGCACTCACAGCATGATCATACCAAGCAGCACAGCAGTATTCTGTGCCCACCCAAGGCCCCTGGGTCTTTGTTTTCTGTACTGTCTTGTTGTGCTAGAGGCTGACTTGTGGAAGCTGGGCAAGCCTGCATGTCTCCAGATCTCCAGTAAATCTGGATTAATTTCTTTTTGAACAATTGAAACATAATAATAGGCTTGCCACAGTGGGTATTACAGAAACTGCACGATCTTCCCCATAAATTTACCCCTCTCCCAAAAGCTGAAGCTCTTTTTGTCAGGTTCTGGACTGTCTTTACTCCTTGAATAGTAAAAGGTGTCCTAATTCCTAGCCTAAACTTCTTATGGTCAGTCATTATCCCTTCATTCTCGGACTGACAAGTAATTGTGTCCACTGTAGTGGTTTGCTCCTGAGGGGAAACAGATATTCTCTGTTGCTCTTGGTGCTGTTATTATTTTTTAATAATTTGTCTGTTCCAGTTTGAATTTGGCAGGCAGAAGGGAGCAGAGTTGAAAGCAGCACTATAGCTGAGATCCTAACTGCCTCTTATGAAGTAAGATCATTTTCCCATCTCTGCTAGAAACACGTTGACACGTGTGATCCTACGGTGGTTGGTTTCTGCCATGTAGCACTGCCATACAAGAGGTTCAAAATCAGTAGTGATCAAGAAGTACATCACATCTTCTCCTCTTTTGTTTCTAACTAGTGAATTGATGTCACCAAACCCTGTAAGTTATTTTCATCTCTGTTCTCTCACTCCTGTTGTCATGAGTGTTGTTCGTTCTTACAAATCCAAATACAAAGCTATTGAACCAACCACCTCAGGACTTGAACGACTGCTGGTTGTTCTTTCAATACGAGCCGTCGTGATCTTGCTACTTTTATGCTAACCCATCTGTTAGATCTCTGGGTTTGGTGCCAGACCATGTTGAGAAAAAGTTTAAGTACACAGGTTAACGTAAAAAGCTGCAGAACTCTTGGAGAAAGGGTTCTTGTCATTTTTTGTATTTATATATAAATATAAAACGTTACTGTAACAAAATGATGACTAGATATTGTGTATATTTTAAAGAAGCCTTGCACTCTGAGTTTGAAGACCAGCTTGGCTACAGTTTTTCCAAACCTGTCTTTTCCCTTAAATGACTGCTGTTGTCCCCTCACAGCATAACTTTGCTTTTGGCTTTGGTACTAGATCTTTAATTTCACTTGCTGCTTTGTTCAATCTTGAAATAGCTTTGCACAGACTCTGTGGTGTGAATGTGTAGAAATTTTATTGATTTTGCTTTATTGAATGTGGCATTTTTTTCTATTTATTTCTTCTCATTTGCTATTTTGACTTTGTTCCATGCTTCACCAAGATTACCTTCATTTCTTTAGATCTTGAAACTGTCTAGGTTACCTTTAGGCTTGACGCAGCCCTTGCTGCCTATTGAGCTCACTTGTTTTTCACTGGTTTATTTGGTCTTCTGTTCAGAAAGAATTTGATCTGACTTGTGATAATTCTTCTGTTATTGCTGTGGTCTGATCTGGCTTAGGTTTGTATATCAGTTTACTTATTCCTGACTACAGTTTTTCTGGACTCTTTTTTCATGCTAGACATGTTAGCACTTTCCTACATGTTTTCTTTTGTTTTAGTGCAAAATTCTTTTATACATAATCGTGGAAGAGACTTGAATGTCTTATAAACTCTGAGCTCTTTGTTCTGATGACTGAACTAACTAGATCCCTTAATTCTTAGAAATAACCTCAGTTAACAGCTTGAAGATTTTTGTTTGTTTCCTTTGGTTGAATGCAAAGACAGTCCAGTTTCAGTTGCTCACTGGTTGGTGATCTGTTCACCAGTGTCACCGCTATTCACAGGGTACGGGCATCTTTGGTTGACTCAGGGGCAAGTGATGAGATCTGTCAGCTCTTGCATCCAGGAATAACTGGGCCTCCCTGGGACCCACCAGCTTGATCTGCCTGTTAAAGGGATGTTTTTCAGCATATTCTGGCTTATATCACATCACTGTGCTTTCTGACATAACTTGGGGTCTTCTAGTAACAAGAGAAAGATTTTATTAAGCTCTTGGCTGCAATATTATTTTGCATAAGCTATGTCTATAGATTAATGATCCATTTACATTTTGTGAAGTTTTAACACTCTGCTTTCTTATTTTGGATTTCCCTTTGTTTCAGTGTTTCTGGGGAGGATGATTTGGGAAAATGTTTTTGTATGTTATTGTCCTGTCCCATCTTACCTGCAAACTAGCATTCTTTTGGTTCTCTCTCCAGTACAAAGTTGTTCAGCTTTAATGCTTTTTTTTTTTCCCCCCATCTGTGCTTCTGTAGTCTTTGAGCCCTCCTCTTTTTTATTCTACTCAGAGTTCCAAATACAGTTGACTTGATAGTTTACAGGTTAAAAAAGACTTCAGAAGTAAATCCTGAAACGAAACCTCAGTCACCTTGTCCTAGTAAATTGTTTCTTTTCTACTTCTGTTAGCACACAAGTATTATCCAAGTCGTAGGAAAAATACCTAATTTTTGGGGAATGTGACATGTTCACAGTTCATGCTTAAACATGTTGTAGTTTATAAGCTTCTCAATATTCAAAGATATTTTCTTCTACACCAGTGATAACCACACAGTGTGTTTTGCATACAAGATGCAACTGCTCTGGGAGGGCTGATCAGGGACTGTGTAGCAGAATTATATTTTCTGTCACTTACTTGCAGCTCTTGGGAAGTAGGATATGTGGGAGCAGTGAGCTAAGATAAGGAAAATCCATTGTCATTCTCTAACGTTTAAAGAATCAAGATCAAGATGGGTGCTTTTTCTATTGCAGCAAGGAAAAAAATCAAACTTTCTAACTCCTTTTATTGTCCAGTGTAATCATCATCCATAATGACCTTTAAAAGGTAGAATTTGGCTACTTTCCCATCACTTGGGCTGCCCTAGGTCCTTTGATGGGCAGTAGAGCTGTGCATAAGTAGAGCTCTGTCTGCTCAAGGAGGAAGGCTGCTGTGAGTGAATTTCTGATGTTTCCGTTTCAGACGCGGGAGCAGGAAGAGCTGGAGGAAGCTTTAGAGGTGGAACGACAAGAAAATGAACAAAGGCGACTGCTTGTACAGAAAGAAGAACAACTACAACAGATGATAAAAAGGAAGAATAAACAGGCACTCTTGGATGAACTGGTGAGTAACAAAACTGGAGGCTTTGAATGCTCTGTAGCAGAGCAAATAGCAGGTGTATTTATATTCATTTCTTCCAGTTAACTGTGTAGTTAACGCATCTGCCCCTTTCTGTTTCCCTGTCTTGCCCATTTTGTACTACTGTTCTGTCACCTATCACTTACTGCAATGTTACAAAGAACTCTGAACAATTTTGGTAAGCCAAGAACTGGTGTGAGACTGCTTCTGGGATACCACAACTAGCTCTTTGGCTGAATGGAATCATTGTCCAGAATGTCCAATGGTGGTTGGAAATTGTAGGGAAAAAACATTCTTGGCTATTTCAATACAAAATTACTCCAGGGTAAGGTGCAGAGAGGCTTGTTTGGATATTTAGAAGGTTTATTTCATGGTTCTACCAGTTTTATTTATTTTTTTTGTTTCTTTCTTTCCTTCAGCTTCCACTGAAGGCTCTTTACTTGTTGCTGTTTTACACGCAGAGGTGTATTTCTGATGTGTCCTTAGTGAGTGTAACCACTCTACAGTTTACTTAAGAGTTGATATTTCACTGAATATCTGAAGAAGAGCTAGTATAACAGTCTAGATTTCTACCGAGTTTGCCAATATGAAAGCCCCAGGCTTTGACTGTGATCCAGGATGGCTTTGCCCTAGCATAGCTGATACTTTTACTACTCTACCTCCAGCCTGATGTATAATGAATGAGTTCTGCCATGTGTTAGCCCTTGCAACTGCCTACTTCTGTTGCCTTCAGCTGATGGCGGTTGCATCTGCTGTGGTGAATGTCTGATCACAGAGTTTGAGGGGGTAGAGAGGAGCTCCGAAGTTTCTTCAGGCATAATGTGAAGTTCGAGCACTGTTTGCTTGGTAAGCAGCCCTGAATTGCTGTGGCCGACAGTCTGGTGTTTTGAAGCAAAGCGGTAATCAGGAGCTGCTCCATGAGCTCAATCACCTCTGCAGTGATAGGGCTCATGGGAGCTCAAAAAAAAAAAAAAAAAAAAGGGACAGTATTCTCATGAGTTAATTGGACATTAATCAACTCTTTCAGTCAGAGGACCTAAATAATAGGTTGGGTATGGAACTTAGCTACTTCTGGAAATGGTCTTAATCTTGTTTTTGGCTTTATTTGCTACTGATTCTGCATTTGAAGTGCAATGATGTGTGGCTATAGAGAAGCCCAGTGAACACTTGTTCTTTAAACAAGACTCACATCTCAGGGTTTTTTTTTGTGTGCATCGACATACACATGCACACATGTTCTAACACCCACGATAGCAGTTGGTGTATAACACTGAGGCAAATCAGAACTAATTATGTGTGCATGTAGTTACACAGTGTGCAGTTTTGTCAATATGTGGTTTAAAGCTGCATGGCAGATGTTAATTCAGAATTTCTCCTATTTCAGTTTACCTCATAACATTAATTCCTAATTTGTATTCTCAGTTCTCATTCAATTTGTAGATGCTCTCTTACTTTCCCAGGAAAAGCAGAGTTCCTCTTTGAACCAAAGCAGAAGGTACTGACTTGAAGAGAGAGCATTGATGTGCAGTTCAGGAGTTTCTGGAGCTCTCCTGAAGAGCTGTCACTTTCAAAGCCAGGAGACTTGGCAACATTTCATTGGTTTTGTTGAAAGGAGCTGGTGTTACATACTTTGTAGACAGAAGCAGAGATAAGTAGAAGGGTTCCTTGAGAATCCTTCAAGTCTGTAACTTTGCATCCAGCAGTCTCTTTTCACTTTCAAGGTGCTTACAACCCACATAATTAGGAATAGTTTAAGTAATGGATCAATTCATAAAAGCTGCCCTATGAACGCATATTTAATGTCTCAGAAAAGGGATTTTGAACTGGTTTCTGACTCACTTTAATCCTGCTCTCATGCACACTCTTAATTTACTAGAGATCAGTGTTGTTCTTTGACACAGCAGTTGGTGTTACTGGAAACCTGCTTCACCAGATGGCTTGGGGAAAGAATGGTTATAAATAATCCTTAAAACATGACCAAAATAGGTAGTTTTAACTGTGATTGCATATGTATTGCTATTAAAACATGTCTTAATATTCTAAAAATCTACAGAAACGGTGATTTTATAGGCTGAGGAAGGAAACTGAGCAATTTTAAGTTATGTTTCTGTTTATGAAGGAGCACTGTCACCTTAGATTTGGGCCTAAACTTGTTTTGTAATACTAAAGGTTTATAAAACCAGCACTGAAGTGTTTGTACAATGACTTACAAAGTCTCTGGAAAACCAGCAGTTGTTAAACAAATAAACATTTCCTATGGTCTCTTAAATCCCTCTAATGCTGTGCTACAAATTTGAAAATGAAGCTGATTGTAAGTAAAGCTGAAATGTGTGCTCTCTTTGAGAAACGCAGCAAAAGCAAGCTCGAGAAGGAGCAATGGAAGGAATTACAGTTTAAAAATCTCCCATCTCTGCCTGCTGGTACTGTACCAAAACCACAAGGACTAAGTTCTGGCTGCAGTGGTACCATGATACCAGGGGCAAAAGCAGTGGCTTGGCAGGGTTATGGGTACAGAAGAAGGTGGGAAGGCCAACGTTTCACCCTTAGATTTGAAATCATCTCTTTCACATGCATCCACCTGGTGTTTGGAACCTGCAGCCATTGTGACCAGCTCTTTGGTGATTTTTTTTCAATGTTTTTTCCCCCCCCATACTGGGCATTAAGAGAAAAGAGAGGGGAAAAGGCGCAGAAATGTTTGGTGTTTAGGATGTCATGCAGCAGGCTGTGGATGGATAATGGTCAGCCTAGAGAAGGAGCTCAGTAGGTCTTGCAGAAAGGATTGGCCTCGAGGCCCAGGCTCCAAGAGCTTGGCTGGGAAGGAAGGGGAAGGCCACTGGGACGTGCTGGAAAGGTGAGCAAGGCTTTCAGGCTACTGGAAGAGCGATCAGGTGCTTTGGCTCCCAGTCCTACCCTGTTACCTCTTGTCTGTTTTGCCTCCCGCTGCTCAGTTAAGCAGATTTTATGTTGCCTTCATTACAAGTGACCCCTTTTACAATATAACCTCCCACTTGAAAAGCCCGGCACCTTGTTGTAATTTAGACTCGCAGTCTCAAATGTATTTTACGTTTTATTGCAAGGGATGTGTGGTTTATTTTATTTTGTAACTCTCTAAAGGTGGGCAATAAGGGCTTAGTAAAACATTAAAGCACTTCCTTTATTTACTGTATAAACTCATCTGTATACAAAGAGTTACAGAACTGCTCTGAGATGTCTTCTGTGTTGTGGGACTAACCTCTGTGAGAGCCTCTACTTCCCAGGTAGGAGCAAAATGACACTGCAGCACTTGACAAAGAGGCAGCTTTTCCCTGGGCTGTGGCTTAGCTTGGGAACAAACAAAGGGCAGGGTGCCTTCAAGATGTCAAGTGTCCCCATTTTTGCCAGAACCTCAGGGTTCTTGAGAGAAATCTTTCAGAAATGTCTGTGTGTAAGTGGCTTTGTTCGTGCCGTTACACGGTTTGTTTTCCCATACCGAAAATTGCCGGTATGGATAAATGCTTACAGGATTGGATCTTTCATTTCTGTTTCTGCGTTAATAGTTAACAGAAGGACTATGTGCATATTAGAAAGGACAAACAATCGTGAATGTGGTGGCTTGCTGGCACGGTGTTGATTTCCCACAGTTGTGTAATCTGGTTGCCGACCATTGTGTTAATGCAAAACTGTTGAGAAGTTCGTACAAAAACCGGCTTCCTTTAGTTATTGTGCTGGAAATGCAGTGAATGTTTAAGGAATATGAGAGGGTCAAATAAACCAGAGAATAATTCCCACTCTTCAGAGTATTAAATCTGAAATTTCAAAGAAACCAGCATCCTTAAACTCTGCTGCCAGCAGGCAGCACATAGGGTCTGCCTGGTGCTTATGGACGTGTACAGTGTTGTGAAGACACAGACTGTCAACTAATGTGTTTGTGGTCCAAACTTTCTCTCTGTTGTGCAGTAATCAGATCAGTAATTTTAGATTTTTAAACAACCTTCACATGGGTACTGCAGAAATTTCAGTAGGATCCCGTGTCTTACACTGTTCATCATTCTGGTGCAGATCCCATGAGATTTTCCTGCTTTTTAGTGTTTCAATCTAGTCGTAAGACAAAATGAGTGAAAAAAAACACAAACAATAACATGGAAAGAGGAGTGAGAGTGTTGGGCAAAGTAGGTGTAAAGCATAACCAAGCTTTGTGATGACTCTGGGAGATTTTTCCAGGATACTATGAGAACAGCAAGGCATCTCATGGCATTAAAACTCCTAACTCCTTCCTCCAAACTGTTTTAAGTTAATAAATAAATCCCAGTGCAGTATATTACAGTGTGGTTGGTTTTGGTGAGTAGCAAATATGATTCATAGTTCAATATTTGCTTGGTTTGAGTGCCTTATGACAAACTCTGCGCTACAGATCTCCGGGCATAACCATGCTGAACTTCTTTGCTCTCAATTTTACTTTTGTTCTAGCTAGGAAATCTAGAGGAATTCAGCATGCATGTGGACAGTCATGTTAGTTTATTAGCAAACTACCTGGCCAATAATTTTCTGACTCTCTCAAGAATGTAGGACGTAGATGTATGTTAATAATCATTCTGTTGTAGCCTAAACACGGGAGTTTTAGCAGTTAATTTGCTTAACTATTCATTTTATTACTTTTATATATTTTTAAAAAATTGGCTGGCTTCCCTAAAAATAAGTTGGTGAAGGAGAAAATAAATATGCTGTTGGTTGCACTTACAATAGTGCCATTGTGCAAAGCAGAGCAAGGATCATTTCCAAACGGCCTCAGGTGAAATCTAATGGGAAACAATTTCAAACTGGTCTGAGTTCATTGGTAGAAAGAATGTGTCTTAGATAAACATCTGATCCAAGTTATACTACTTTGTATTATTCCTTCTCTGATTAACTTTTAATTTCTTTTTATAATTTTAATAAATATAGTTGCGTTGGCTAGTTGGAATAAGGAGCCTGTTATATCGTCTTTAATGTGGATTCTATAAAAATGGTTGTTTGCAGGTTACTCTGATTTATGGGGTTACTGCAGCTTTTTCTTATTACTGAAAATGATCGCTTTCTGTAAACTGTTTTTCATACAGAGGATACTCAGTATTACACTTCGCTGCTAGTGATGGCCTTTCAGACACAACTTACGGTTTTCAAGTAGATGCAGCATTAATTTGTGTTTAGTTTGTTTTAGCATTCAGCTTTGTTATTCATATGCTTACAGGAGAGCTCCAGCCTTCCTGCTTCGCTGCTTTTAGCTCAGCATAAGGACAGATCTACTCAGCTAGAAATGCAACTGGAAAAACCCAAACCTGTCAAACCAGTCACGTTTTCCACTGGCATCAAAATGGTAAGACCTGCTTCTTTCTTTTTTTTTTTTTTTTTTGAACGCCTTTCAAAAGAGCCAAGATTTCCTAACACGAAACTTAGAGGTTATTTAAACCTGAGTTGCATATTATGTGAAACAGATGAATTTCTAATTATATAATTGGAAGAGAACAGTTGAAGTATTTCATCATTCTGCTACTTAGAATGTATGAAACCTTTTCTTTGCCCAAAAACAAGCTATACCTATTTCCCAGCAAAGTGGTGCTGTACTTTGAATGCTTTTGTCTATCATTTGTGTTACATCTTTGAAAGCTGAAATTTTGGTAGCTCAGGACAAGACTGCACTCTCTTCATGTTTACTTTGAGCACTGAAATAGTCCGAGTGTGAGACAAACAATGTGGAAATGGTTAAGGATGCTGTTTTCATTGCCGTTGGAATCTAGGAAGCAACAAGTATTTTTTCAAATGTGTTACTTCTGTAGTGACAGCTAAAGATCTGTCAGCTTTCCTGTTTTTTTATTGTGACGTGGTACAAATACACATCAGCTGGTGTGTGGAAATGTTTAAAAATAAAGATAATAATAAAATTCAAGTTTTGTGTGGGAAGCTGGGGCTGGGAGTGGGAATTACTAATCTTTTTTTGCACCTTACTTGTCCCCTGCTTTTTTAAAAATCCCTGTACTTTTTGTAGACTTTATATGTTAGACTTGATAATGCTAAATGGTGTCTTGAAAACGACCAACATTCCCTACCTCCCCTAACAAACCAGAAAGTAAACGAAGCAAAAACCTCTCTATCAAACTAGTCTCCCATCAATTAATCAGTTTGATTTGTCAGGAATATCTGTGCTGTGTTCATTGCGTCTGTTTTCTCCAAAGAGTTTACAATATAATAGCATTTGCAGCTTGCTGTTCCAAAAGTAGTGTCAGCTCTTGCAAACTTGTGCAGATTTTTCTCTTAACGTTTCTGTATTACAAATCGTATCTTCTTACTTCTTTTTTTTTTTTCTGTGACATTTACTAGACAGAAAGTGTTAAGTGTTCTGCTTAAAAAGTATTCTAACTGAATGCCTCTACTTTATCTAGCTGTTAGAATATATTCTTAGATTTTTTTTTTTAAACTTTTGGTCTTTCCAGCTTAGTTTGGAGGGCTAAGTTAAACTTCCATGTAGCTTATGCTGCACAATGAGGACAGTGGAAATACTTTCCATTGCATTTGTAAATGGGCTTTCAATAGTATTGTGTAGTAGCAAATATTTCAAATCTGCAGCCTGAAATAAACTTCATTCAAAAAACATAAAAGACTTGGACGAGGAGATTTCTAGCATCATGACGTTTAAATCTTAACATTTGGAATAAGTGGAGGTACTCCAGGTAACTGATCATTGCTTTATTGGTGTTCAGAAGGTGTGAGTAGAAGACCAATTTTATTTGTTCTGTCCCAGATGAACAAACAACCCTCTTCTACTGACCACTGTCTTAGATTGAAATGACAAAAAAAAAAAAGAAAGCTTGAACATTTAAGGTTAGGGCTATTTGAAGATTGTGACAAGTGTCTTAAGGAAAATGGATTAGCAAAATTGATTTTGCACTGATAAACTTACAGGTTTGGTTGAGAATGACGACTCTCTCCATATTTTCTTTATAGGGTGCTTGATTTAATTTTTACCTGACATTGATTTTTAGAATTTTATAAAAATGACATTATATATTAAATACCTGGCTACCTTGTAATTACTAAAGCAGTGGTTGGTTACCACAGCATGGGAATACGTCTGTGGGTAAGTACAGAAGGGACACAGAAGGACACGGTTCAGTGTTTGGAAGCAGATGCTGAATTTCTGTGGATGACATGGAAGCTGGCGCTTTACAGGGCATTTCTGAAAAGCTGGCCTCCTTTGAATGAAATGCTTTAATATGGCTAAATGCAAAATTATAAATAGAATAATAAATAATGGGCTCCGTGAGGAGGATTTGGAATTTTAGTTAAGCACGTAAATGAATTTGACCCTCAACCACAGCATGTGTGTAAGTCTCGGATATATAAATAGTAGTGCAGCAAATAGGAAGGGACTGCTGAAGGCAGCGTTGGAAAGACTCGTGCACTGAAGTGCTCTGCTGACTGCATTTCAAAAGGGAAAAACGTAAAGACAACTAAAAGCAATGAAGGTTCATCCAAAGGTGGTAGGATAGGCTTTGTACTGTGTTCTGCCTCTGGTTCATGAGAAGGTTAAGATATGACTCAATGTACATTAAGTACCTCCTCAATGCAGAAAATGCCAGGTCTGAGCAGCACAACAGCAAATGGAGCAAGAACCAGCAACCTTAGCTAAACAAATAGGAACTGAGGGAACAAACGAGACCTTAAAGTTCACAATGTTCCAGTGGTTAGCTGGCCCCACTGTTAGAATTGACAGTGGTAATGTGATGAAATCTCTAATTCTTGATGGTTTCAGATCAGGACTGGGATGGCCTTTTGGAAAGTTACTGTAGTTGAATGCAAGTTGTTCAGCTCAGAACAGGGTTTTGTGAAAAGCACCTGTGCTCATCATGTAAGATTTAGTGCGGTTCCTGACCTAGTGACAGTGTTGGATGAATTCCTACCTTGAGGCTCACCTTATGAAATACTTAATATGTTCCAATTGATTTTTTCTAAAATGCTGAGATGCACGGTCCCTCTGCTTTGTTTAATTGCACACATGAAATAGGTGGAGCTGGTAGAGCTTTTGTTGTGCTGCTCGTCATGGGCAGCACCTCTTGGTGCTCTAGCTTTGTTCCTCCAAGCCATGGGGTTTGCACCGCTTATTGGTGGGGCAGCTTTAGGGTAGTATTGTGATATATATATATATATATATATATATATATATATAAAGTTCTAATTAATGCTCTGTTTGGCTCTACAGTTGTGCAAATGAAGTATTGTTTCTGTGCGAATTCCCTTCTGGGCTCACCAATAAAGAGTTTTGGCATCATGCAGACAGCACACAACCACGTACGTTCTTCCCCAGGGTGTTTATTTTTTCCTAGTAGTTTGGCCGCTGACCTTTTCTGGTGGATGTTGTCCTTAATTGTGTTCAGAAGAAGGGAATCCAGATAAAGTTAGCCGAGATGCTGGCAGATCCGGAGCTCGTGTTTACACAAAGGCTTTACATGCCAGTTGTGGCAGTCCTTATTTTTTTCAGCTTGAACACGAGTGGTTTTCCTGGGATGGTCTTGGTCAGAGGTGCTCTTCTGCCTGACTGATAATTGGACAAGTTTCTCCGTTTCTGGATTAAGAGGCATGCCCATTCTAGTCTCCACAGCAAAGCTCAAGGAAGTTGGCTCATCTGAGGTGCCGTGTGAGTGCTGTGGAGTTCCTGTGCTTACAGGGGGAGGAGGGAATGTCTGCAACTGGTAAGCTAAGCAAGAGCATCCCCTATAGCACGAGAGAGACAATTAGATCAGGGAGGTAGGGTTTCCATCTTCGCTTTTCCTTTTGTTAAACTGTTGTTTTGCTCCCTTCAAACAGGAGCTGCTTTGTCTTTGCGTTCTACTGGATCTTATTAACTTCTGAAATTTATTTCAATAAATTATGTCTTCCATGCATGAAGCGTACCCACCTAATCAGTCAGTTTGATTTAGCCTCTCTAAGTGGGGGAGAAAGCACTTCAGAGTTTTCCGCTCATCATATTAAGGAACAGGCTTTCAGCATATTTGAATATTTAAAATATTAGTCTTATTATATCTGATCTGAGATCAGGGTAAAGCTACAAAAGAAATGATAATAACCTTAATTATACTTATTGCAACTGGTGCTGAAAATGCTTCCTGTCAATGCACCTACTTTACATTTTAGTACTAGTCAAAAAGAGCAGGGGTTATAGGAAATGAATGCCATTTTTAGCATTTCTATGGCTTACTGGGGTGGGTAAAACAAATGTAATGTCTGGGAATAGAACCGTTCCTCCGCTTCTGGTGAGCATTGCGGCCAGTTCTGGTTGGGAGATGGCTTTAACTGGAAGCGAATTTTGAAGCTAAGAAGTGCTCTTATGCATTGCATGCTAATGGCAGCTTGCAAATGCAAGCAAGAATCCATTACGTTACAGTAAGCCTGGTTTTCTTTTTGTGCTCCTGGTGTTTGCAGAACTATAGAAGCCTTTTGGTGCTTGTAGTTCGGTGCTTTACGTTACCCTTGTAGTTAAAAATTAGTGGAAGTGTGAAGTATTCAGCTCCTCTTTAATTCACTGGAAACTGGAAGCATGCACACTTCTGACTCAGTTATTTACACATTTGTGTAAATCTGAATCCCTGAGACTGGCTTGATTTCATGCTATCTTCAGCCTCTTTCAGCCTGGATGCCCTGTTGCTTCCAGTTTTATTGTGTATTTTTGCTCCCTTCCCCTTGTCTCCCAGGGGGCTTAGCCTCTAGTGATGGTATTCTTGAAGTAATTTCATGCAGTTCAAAACTCAATTACCTCTAATTGGATTGCCCAAATGTGCAGGAAAAGATCATAGGTGTCCTCTGGTCTGCTACCACTTGGGAGAGTTTTCCCTTTGCATTTTGTATCCAAATGCCTCAAAATTAATCTAATGCATCATTGGCTGTTCAGTCTCTGCTGTGGGTTTTGTTTTATTACTTAACAGCAGTGGGAGTATTTATTAATAGAAGTATTAGCGCATGTAGGGCATGCTTCGTCATTACCAAGATGGTCATTACCCTGTGAATTTGCAGCTTAAATAGATGCGTTGGGGAGGGAGGGGAAGCAGATGCCCGGAGGCGATGTGCTCGCCCAGGATTAGACAGCAGACCAGCGGCGGAAGGAGGAATAGGATCCAGCCCTGCTGAATTCCTAACCTGCTGTCTCTTCCGCCGAGCCGGGCTCCATCTCCTGTCAACAGCACCCCTGAATGGCAGCAAATTAAGAGTGAAATATCTGCTTCAGCTTCTTCCCTGTCTAAATCACAGCAGCGCCGTTGCGTTTAGCGTTGCGTGTGTCTGAGTGTCGTCAGGGTTTTGTTCCAGCTCTTGTAGGCTGAGGCTAGT